AATGCCCTGCCAGACGCCCATGCCCACCCCTGACAAAGATGCCCTCCCAAAGTACACGAGGCCAACCGACCGTCGGCGGCTGGTGCTATGTCATACCAGAACTGTCACCTGTGCCAAAGTCTATCAGATATCAAGTGGAGCATGACAAGTGGCCTACTATTAGGTGGTGAGTAAAGCCGACTTCTGTTCACACTGGCTCTCAGCAGAAAGGGGTGATTCATCAGAAACTGCCCTTCAAAGAAATGCTCCTTGTGCCATTAAACGCTCACCCCAGAAGAACCGGAAGCAACTAGAACAGGTGTCTGCACACCTGTGCTCATGGGGGACAGCCACATGGCCTGAAGGCGGGGCGACCCCAGGGCTCACTGGCGCACCATGGTGGGCACGGGGCATCCAGGCCGGGTAGGGGTTACTCGGCTTTCAGATGCAGTGACAAGCTGCGTACGCGGGCCGGGGTGAACCTGCATGTCGGGCGGAGTGCCGTCTGCCGAGGGCAAATGCTGTAAGCTGCTGCTATGTAGGAGAAGGTGAAGGCACAGAAACTACGGTGGTGGCTGGGGTGCTGCGGTGACGGCCACAGAGCAGCAGGAATGTACTTCCTGCCACTGCACCGGCCACGACAGGCTGGGGCAACCCGCCGTGTTATGCTGGCGAGAAAAAAAAATCCCACAAGCTGAGTGAAACTCTGCTCTCATTCTACATTGTTTTGCTTAAAGTTGCTGTTTCCAAAACCTACACAAGGTTAAGGACTCGCTGTACTTAAAATTGGTGAACATATTAAATGCGATGACTATTTCACCACCAGTGGAAAAAAACAACAACCCTGAAGCATCTATTCATCTGCTTAACTATGAGGATTTCAGGCCCCTCAATACACCCTGGGGAGGAGACACCAGCGCTCGGCTTCGCCGCAGGTACAGTGGTGGTGGTGGAGGGAGGGACACTGTCCCAGCGGCCGGTTCAGGTCCTGTCACTTGGGCCTGTGAATCAGCCCTGCAGTCGCCAGGCTGGGCTCAGCCACCAGGGACACCGTCGTCAGAAACGGACTCCGCTGCTTGCCCCCACCTCACTGGCTCACTTCTCGTCTTTCTGGAACAGCCAAGCCTGCATGGGAGTCTGGGAAACATGACTGCCACCCAGAGCAGGCCGCCCACACACCACAGGGAGAGGGGAGACGAGGGCCGGTGTGAGGCAGTGCATGGAACAGGCCATGCCGGGTGGACCCACGCAGATGACTGAGCTCACCATCAGGATGACCTTCTCCATGCACTGAGGAGGGAGGAAAGTCCAACCATCTCCACTCTGCCCTTCCTTCTGCTAAAGCAAGAACATCTAAAGGAACGATGGCTGATGAGGGGCCGGCCAAGAGTGGGCATCGTTCTGGGCTGGCCCATCTACGATGGCTCTGACCCCCCCACCACCATGCCAAGGAGCGGTGCGGTGCTGGGGAGGTATCTGCTCTTTATGCTGGATAGCGGGACAGACCCTGCAGCCAGGAAATCATGGAGAGGAAAAGAAAAGAACCAGAAACCACCAGCTCCCAGTGTCAGTGGCCCCTGAATGTAAAACATGTACTGCCATGATTTGGAAGGCGGAAATAGAAATCCAAGGAATTTTCTATGGCCATACCACCTGCACACGCCAGATTTGGCTGCCAAGGTTGGGCCTGGTTTAGTATGTGGGTGGGAGAAACTCAAGGAGTGACGAGTTCCCTGGTTTTCTGGCCCTGAAACACAGTGAGGCGACTCCGAGAGGGGCAAGGTCCCGCCGCCCGCCCAGGTGCCGACAGGCACAGGCCACCGCTATCTCGCTGTGACCCGCCCTGGTGCCGGCCGAGCGGCACGTTCAGATAGCGCATGCTCCCTTCCTAGCAAGGCAAACATGCGTATCGTCTCTGCGCAACACAAAGCACGTTTTTATCTTAGGTACACGGATCACGACTGGCTCCTCCACGCACGGGGTTCCTGTGCTACTGATTAACAGCTCACCAGAGACACTCATGTGACACACCTAGGAGGTTTTCTTCCTCCACTGTTTCCCTTGCACACACCTCAGCCTAGAGCCCGGGCACGGGGTGAATTCTGCAGTCACGCGGGTGGGATGCCCATGCTCAGTGCGCGGGGAGTAGCTCATGCAGCAGCTCCCCTGCGAGCGCCGCGCCCTCCCCTGCACCGCACTGCCCACCCTGAGGCCAAGCTCGCCCTCGTGTGTGGGAAGGGCCGCTGCGCTCGGGCTCTGGTGGCGTCCCCATACAAGCCCTGCTGTCCTAACTTGCAGCCAGCCCACCGCGAAGTCAACAACATGGTGTCGCGAGAAAACCAGTCCCTCCCTCAGTGTCCACCTGGCTGGGGCTTACCATTTGCCAATGTGAGGCCAGAGTCTCCCCTGGGGAAAGACAGCGGGCTGTGGGGTGATGGGAACTGCTCTCCTGGCGGGTGGCACCACAACCTGGCACACCAAACACCTTCCTTCTTGGCCAGCGTGACCAGTTCTAACCAGCTTGTTGCTGAAGCCAGATCAAAAAGTCTCCAAAGCACTTTTCCACTGAAACAGGAACACAGGCTAATCCTTGCAATAAAGAGCCTGATGTGGAAAACTAAGTGGGGTTAGCCTTGGAAGAGGGCAGGGATGCAGAGCCCATGAGGTGAGAATGCGACAGATCTGACTGCTTCCCAGGCGGGGCGGGGGGCAGGGGCAGGGGTGGCCTGCCAGAAGGAGGGGCAAAGCCCACAGCTCAGCCCACGGCAGTGGTGCCCCTCCCCAGGCCACAGCACACGTGCACCCAAGTTTTTGGCACCTAGTGAACCACCAAAACACAGTGCAGATGAAGCAAGGCAGCTCTGCAGCTGGACCTGTGGGCGTGACGGCCTTCCTCTGCCTGGTCCGCCTGGGCCAGGGCTTGCGATGCAGCGGCAACTCCAGGGTGAGCGCTGCCCAGAGAGCTGAGGGCGGAAGGCAGGGTCCCCAACTGCTGAGACGCCCAGGCAGCACAGCGCTGTTGAAAGCTACAGGGGACTGAATGGACAGTGTTTTGTTTTGCATGATGAACTGAGGTCTTTTTGAAGAGCAGAGAGACATGGACAAGGGTGCAGAGGCATGGGCTGGGGTCCTGTCTGGGCCAGGCCTGGGTGGCCGGCCAGGGAGGGCACTGTCTGATGATGTCCGGTGACTGCCCAGGCCCTCCACCACCTTGGCCCGGCCTGAGCCAGATCGTCCTATCAGGGTGCCTTCTGAGCTCTGCGGTGACCCCTGGCCACCCTTAGCCCCCAAGTCTACCTGGATAAAAAAACCTGGAGATACCAAGGTCACTTAGCCTAGCACAGGGCACTGGGAGGCCTGGCATGAAGGAGACATCCAAGAAATGAACAAGCCAGTGAGTGAACGAACAGGTAAATGAACAAAGAGAAGAACATCTTGTCTTGTTCCTGTGCCTCCTCTTTACCTTCGCCTCCAGCGCTGGGGAAGCTGGGACGGCTCAGCCGGCCCTGTGAGGCCTGGCGTGGCCGAAACGTGAAGAAAAACTAAACATCTTTAGTTCTTAAGGGAGTCACCCCACTTGCATCAGGTCAAATCCTTCAAGGAATCTCAACTCATCCTGAACTTTCCTGAAAGGGCTGACAGTCCTTAGTGCTGGGTTGTCATTTACCCGCAGAGACATCACATCGGGCGGGAGCAGGTCAACGGAGAGCAGGCCCGGAGCCCGGGCACCTCCAGAGGCCTCTCGGGAGTGGCCTTCAGTGCTGCAGCCCCAGAGCCCTGCCCACACCCTGGGGAGCTCATGGCTACCCCCAGGCCACACAAGGATATGGGACAATTACTGGGGGTTGGGCGAGTGATTCTTCATCAACTACTCACAGAAACACATGCCCCAGCAAGAACCGCTCAAATACAATTTCTTTCTCTAACGCTTGCTCTCTCCACTCCAGGCTGACAAAGTATCCCAGTCTAGCAAATGAGCTTGTTTTGAGAGCAAATGGAAAAGCTCAAAGGAAACCAAGACACTGTTTTGAAGAGTCTGAGGGAGTTTTCCCTAGGGAACATATGATGAGCGGCACTGCAACGTTTCTAGGTTACTCCGATTTGCAGTCTGTAAGAAGGTGTGTTTCCAGGAAAAAGGCCCGAGGCCTGGAGCCCCGAGGGCAGCTCTGTGTCCCACACCCAGAGATACTCCCTGCAAGAAGTGAGTGTGGGCAGCTGCTGCTCTACCCCCTTCTGCTTCAAAAGCCTCTCAAGTCTAAAGGCTGAGGACCGGCCCCCGAGGAGCAAGCCCCACGCCCGGACCTGCGAGACACCTATGATCAAGTGAAAAGGCCACGGAGCCCAGCGGCAGGAAGGAGGGGAGGCACTGCTGGCCTCAGTCAAAGCGCCATGTCCTGGCAGCACAGGGCGGCGGGCTTCCTGCTTGCCAGCAGCAAATGTTTGCCTGAGAGGCGGGATAGTCAGTGTTTCCTGAGGAGGCTGTTGCTACCTCTGGAGCCAGGCAAGGGGAATAGCAGGAAACCGCGAGAAGCAGACACTGCCATGCTCCACTCACTGGCCTATCTTGGGGGTCGCTCAGCCCCCTACAGGTTATCAGCTCAGCTCACAACCCCTCCATCCAAAGTCCTCCCAAGGTCCAGGTCTTGCAGATATGGGTTCACTGGGTTCAGGGATTAAGCTGGCAATCCCTGGCCTCTAGTGCATCTGTATCAAATGCAACTTCCCTCATCTCTCTGTGACTCAGTTTTCTCATCTAAAGAATGAAGACAATAGCAACACCAAGCTCTCAGGACTGATATAAAGATTAAATTATTTTTTTAAAAAGATTTATTTATTCATATGGAACTGGGATACAGGTCAGAGGTGCAGGAGCAGTGAGAGACTTCACCAGAGACAGAGTGGGGAGCAGAACAGGCAGAGCGACGAAGTACACTGCTGAGGGGAGCAGCAGGCAGGTCAGGAGAGGTCTGCCGCGCCATGGGGATCACCTCTGGGGTGGGAATCGAACTCTCACTGAAGCGGCTGTGGGCAGCTTGCAGTGCTGCGTCCTAACCTGTTGCACCACGAGGGAGGGCCAAGATTAAATTATTAACTCCTTGAAAATCGGTTTGGCCCAGAGCAGGGCACAAAGTAGACAGACCATAAATTACTGCCATGGAGCCAACTTGCCCCGAACTGAGATACTTACAAAGAAGAATCATTTAGATAAGGGGCAGTCAGGGCCGGGCAGCAGGGGTCCACAGGGTGGTGAGCCTGGCATCTGACCAGAAGCGCTCGGTGGCAGCCGATCCCACTCAGGACTGGCAGCTATGGGGCCAAGGTCAAATAAGGACACACAGAGCTGATGAACTTTGGAGGAAAAAACAAAACATGCAACAGTACTTCTATCTAGCTGCAAATACACCCCCTGGACAGAGATGAACATACTAGTAGAATTTCCAAAAGGGCTGCATAAAAAAACAAAAACAAAACAAAGTGTATGATTTATACCACCATGTTAATCACTGTTATTCTGGGTAGCTAGCAAAATTGTGGGTCTCATTTACTTTCTATAAGGAAGAGAACTTCTGCACTTAAAAAAGTTATGTTGAGAAAACAAGGCTGTCTTCTCTGGGTGAGAACCCGGGGTGACCAGTGGCAGAAGCCGAGGTGCCGCTGGCCAAGCGTGGGCACTTCTGGCCTGACCACACCAGACTCGGTCGCCTCCGCCGCGTTAGGGCCTGCTCCAGCCAGACCCGGCGGCCGGGCACTCCTCGCATCTCTCTGTCGGCATTGCAGCTGTAATTATCCTGTGTCGTGTCCCGCTCTTCAGAATATCTAACTCTGTGGAGCCGCAAGATAAACAGAATATAGATTTCCCCCTGTGGCTAACCACCCCCACCGCTGCGAAGTGGCACTTGGTGCCAGTGGGCACTGCGCCAGTGGCGGGGGTGGTGGAGCCAACGCTTCCTTCAGCTGGAAGGGTGGACCCAGGGAAAGGCCCTCGCGGAGGTGACGCAGCACTGGGCCTGCCCGCCTGCTCGGCAGAGCGACTGGAGACAGGCAGGGCCTGACTCCGTGTTCTTGGGTGGGATCCTAGGGACTGGTCTACTCTCTCCCACCCACACCAGGCAAATTCTTGAGGTGCCTGTACCTGAGGCAATCTTTTCTTTGCCCACCAAACCAAATTCCTCATTGCTTATGTCAACCTAACTTTAAACAGAGGCAAGGAAACATGATGTTCACTTATCAGGCTGGGTAAAAGCAGTATTGGAACAGCAAACCCGGGCTGCTCCTGGATCCGGGGGCGGGGAGCTAAGAAGAACAGTGAAGCCCACAGGCCTGGAGCAGGAAAAGACTTTTAAAACACCCTCTTTCCCTGGGTCGGCCGGGCCTGGCCAACCCAGATGGCTCCCAGGCAGCGGGCACTGGCAATCCCAATGGCCAGCCAAGTTAAATCATACCTGCAAAGAGCAGCTACCTTTTCATCCTCCATTACCCCTGAGTAATGGCCAAGGCTGCAGAAAAGGCCAGAGAGTGTCTGCGCAGCCACTGGTGGCTCTCCCCTGACAAGGTGAAGCCCGAGACCATTTGCAGGAGACTTCCGCCCCAGAGTCCTCACAACCAGGCACCTTTGCGTAAGGCCCAGGCCCATGAGACCCAGTGCTGAGGCGAGGGGTCCTCACTAAGTGTCAGTCTGGCCGTGGGGTCCGTCACAAGTGCGTGCACGGGAGGCAGAGTTGGCGCCAGGCGCCCAGTGCCCCGCTGCACGCAAATCTCATCTGTTTCTGTGAAAAAAGGCAGAGTTTGGATTTAAGTAACCCAGGAAGGACACGGCTTACTCACAGGACCCTCCTTCACCACTGCCCTCAGGAGTGTTATTGTCAACTTTGAAGTGATGTAAGGAAATTTCCTAAAGGAATGCAAAAGCACGTAACAGCTAAGAATACAATGTGAAACCAGGCAGTCCTGGGTTCAGCTCATGGCTCTGTAGGTTTGTGTCTGGGAAACCTCCAGGACCACCTTATGGCATAAATAAGGTAAGATACACAAAGCATCTGAGTAAGATCTAATTAGAAATGATAACATTTATTTAGTGACTGGCACTATATTGCAGAAGCCATTTAACAAATGCTGAGTGAGTGGGGATTTCCAGGGAAGAGGCAAGATGAAATTAGAAAACATGTTTACTCAATCACAGGGCCATGTGACCTGCGGCAGCAGGTGCCAGGCTCTCGGGCTGGGTGGCCCACACCGGCTCCACATCTCCAGTCTAAGATAACACCACTCACCCAAGGGGCCTGCACAGACTGAAGCTACGTCCTCAGCACGGTGCAGTGCCCAGCCCTCACTGCGCGTGTGGTCACGAAGGAACACGGCTCTGGGGGTAGACCGGTGGTTTTGAATCCCAGCTCCCCCACTTCCTGGCTGCGTGACTACGGACAAGTCAGCTTTTCTATGTTTCAGTGTCCTTGTGTGACGGCGGTAATAAAAGATCTACCTCAGAGGGTGGTTTACATAACTAAATGAATAAAAAATAAGAAAAACACTCAAACCACAGTAACTACTCAACAAAGGCTTTCTATTATTTAGCGCATATTTATTACTTAATAGTTAAGACTAAATGTTAAAAATTTTGGACCTTGGCCTCAAATTCTTCTAGCTCTGGTGGTCTTATTGTGGGATTTAGTGGCAAACACCTAGATTCTCTAGGCCCAGACTGAAAAGAGGCTCAAAAACAAAGCTTGTCCAGTCAGCAGCCGAGAGGGAGTTCTCTACAGGTCCAAATTCCTGGAACCTCCATCCTGGGCAGGCCACAGGAAAAGTCATGTGATTTTACCTGCTGATGACGCCGATTAGGAAGGCCTTTGCTTCTACTGGGTTCAAAAGCAACAGCCAACTAAATTATTTATTACAAAGACTATAGCAGTGGTTCTCAAAGGCAGTCGAGCAGGGCTCCAGAGGATCTGGTATTTTCTGGGGACTTCTCGGCTGTCAGAACTGAGAAGACACTGCTGGCATTTAGTGGGCATGCTGGGAACGCTGCTGAACACCCCACGGCGCATAGGACAGCAGTTGCCAGCAGCATTATTCAGCCCAAATGGCAACAGTGCTGAGAAATGCTGCCCTCCAGGAAAGCTGTTTATGACCAAGGGCACGTGTGGGTGGGTGGTGGGGTGGGTAGAGCACACAGTGGCGTCTGCACATGGCGGCCAGGTACAGGTGAAATGTCTAGCAAATAAGAACAGGAAAATGAACTGAGATGATGGGATATCTGGGTTATCTAGGAGAACTATCAGATGTTTCAGGGCCAGAGCAAGTGAGGGCCAGCACTCAGTAGAGGCCAGAGTGACCCAGAGCCCCAGCTCTCTGTCGGTGTATTCACACACCTGGGACTCAGCCAGCCCAGCCCCTAGGCACACCCTGGCTTTTGCTTGGATCAAGACAAAATCAAGGTGAGGGAGGAAAAAGAGATAATAATGTCTTTTATACAAAATCAAGCCCAGAGTTTAACAACTTGAAAAGATATATTTTAGAATCTCACCTTGTCATCTCTCCTATATTCTCTCTAAATGACTGTGGAATGAAGTGGTCAAACCAGGTCTCTGCGTTCAGATAGTAGGGGAGAGCTTAATTCTTCAACTAGAACCAAGACTGTACTGAGAAGGACAGAAACCTGATCCAGACTGGGGGTGGGACATCACTAACCCCAAAATGACACATGAGTGACTGGAAGGATCGCTCAGGGTTATGTGTACTCAACAGAGAAGAAGAAGTTTCCACTTCGAAAAGTCATGTGGTTAAGAGATGCCTGGTATAGTTTAGGAACTGAAAGGGAATCTGTTGACAGGGCCAGACCAGGAGATCCTCAAGGCCTTGGAGAATGTGGATTGTTATTCAAAGAGTAACAGAATGCCATTAAGGCAGATGGAAGAAATGTTTTAACCCATAAATTGTATAGTTCCTACTCTAGCAGGCTCAAAGTTTCAGTGAGGAAACTGCTTAGGTAAGGAGACCTCTTTATGCTTAGGTAAATAAATCAAAGCTTCCAGCTTATCACACAGAAACCCAGACTAGTGCCAAAGCCTCCAAACTAAAGGGAAGTCACTAGAACATTACAAAAGAAAAAAGAAAGAAAAGGCACTTTTTTTTAACCTCCAAAGCAAGTATTAGCACATTCTAAGCCCTAATGGTCCATGAAAGTCTAAGCCCTCTCTGGGGGAGGGAGAGGGAAGTGAAGAGAACTATACTGATGTCAGAGGACCTGTCAAGAGCCACAAAACCAGGAGGACCCATAAGTGTCCCTAGCTGAAGGACAGAGTTCAGGCCACAGCCAACTCTCCCAGGTTCTGTGTTGTCATATGCACGGCCCCTGGGCCTTCCGTCTGTGTTTAAGAAAGGCCTATCCTAGCTAGCAGACTACACTGTCTGGAGAGCTCACCGTCTCCACCCTAGACTCCCCCTTCCTTGTTTATCTTTACACCGCGGCCTCCCCCCCATAGACTTCCATCCTTGAGGCCACCAGATCTGCGTCTTTCTTCTCATAGTAAAAGGTTTATGTGCCCAGACCCACTTGCTGAGTTAAAAAGCATCGCTTTTTGTGGCCCTCCCTGGTGGTGCAGCGGGTTAAAGCACTGCACTAAGAAGCTGAAACCACTTCCGCATGAGTTCGATTCCCACCTGCCCCAGAGGTGACCACATGGTGCGGCAGACCTCTCCTGACCCGCCCGCTGCTCCCCTCAGCAGTGTACTTGGTCGATCTGCCTGTTCTGTTCCCCACTCTGTCTCTGGTGAAGCCTCTCACTGCCCCTGAGCCTCTGGCCTGTACCCCAGTTCTGTATGCACAAATAAATAAATCTTTAAAAAAAAAAAAAAGCATCGCTTTTTGTACTTCTGAGAAGACTGGCTGAAGTCTTGCTGGCCTTGGCCCCTAGGAAACAGAAGGACACTTTACCTAGGACTTCCCACTATGTGTCATTTGGGTATCAGATTTAAATCAATGCCCCAGGGTATGTGATAAGAGATGGGAGAGGAAGGATGAAGTTTAAATGGACTGAACAAAGATAAACAGGATAAAATCTAAAGGAGTACTTTGCAAGAACAGAGAACTCTCAGCTTTGAATACAAAAAAGAGCAGGATAAACCTGGCTATAAGGACTGTCAAAGCATAAAGGAGCTTGCTGTGCAGAGGGTCACTGTCCTGCGGGTGGGTGCTTTGGCAGCTGGGTCAAAGAGAACACCCTCAGGTCAGACAGGAGCTAGAATACTTGTTCCACACCTACTTGCCTGCTACTCTGTCCTGGCAAGCTCTCTCCTGTGACAGGACC